TCAGCAGTGACATCGTCTGGTATTTTCTGTATTTAAATGGCACTAAACTCATGTGTAAACCATTTGTAGATGTCAGTCCACTCATGTTATTAGTACGTACATTACTGTGCAGGTCTAGAGCTAGGGCAATACCATTGAATATTCCCATAGTGTGCGCTTGAATTAAGAAATGAATTTTTTTTTTAATTACTCATACCCGTTTGGGTTCACCTCCTGGTAGCTTTTGATCAGGTGTTATTTATGTTGGCTAAGTTTGGGGCTGGCTTGCTTAGCTAAGTGCCGCATTTTGTGAAGGACAGGGCACTGTTTGTCACAGCAGGAGGACAGGGTAAAGAAAATGACAACACACATTAGGATACTGGCACACAAGTGGTGGGGACTTTGCCGTGCCCTTCGCATTTAGGCTTGCAAAGTCACAAAAATTCTGCATCATTTTTCATATTTTTGAAGACACATGCCTCAGGCAAGATCTATGTTCCCCTGGAAGAAAATATTTTCATGTTTTATAAAACATGCCCACCCTGTGTTGAACTATATTTGCAGTGTTTCTCTCACAGCCTCATACACTCCATTTTTTTTCTTCAAGTTTTTGTCCTCATTGTGGGAGTAATTTGTTCTCTGAGTCTCAAAGAAAAGAGCAAGCACCTACCTCAGGTGAAGCAGAAGCACTCACTAACAGCCTCAGTTTTTCAATATGAAATTTTCCTGCTCATACCAAACTGCTTGAAATCAATCCACAACGTGTTTTTTCTTTTTAAAAAAAAAACCCTAAGAAAAATACTTAAGGCAAGTTCAAAGAAGAAATGCTTTTGAGGAAACCACAGCCTGGTGGCAGACATTTGCAAAAAGCCAGGAGCTAAATTGTTTAGTGTATTTCCTGAGCTCAGTTCAGCGCCAGCTTTGAGTAGGTGGCACATGAGCTACAGTGACCATATTTCCTGCTTTAATAGCTGCTGCTTTTCTGTCTCTCTATTTTCCTGGGTTGATTGGCAAACTTTAAAGGACAAAAATGCTTCTGCATCTTAGCAATTTGATTCTCTTTGCAGAAAATAAAAAAAATGTTGTATTTCCAAGTAAGGAGCCATTTCACATCTGAGTCTCACGAATGCCATTTTTTCTCTGTGCTGAATATCCATGTATGTGTGGACACGCAAGCAACTAAAATGTTACAAAAGTAAAACTGGTATTAAAATACCATTTACATTTGTCTTTACACTTTATATTCACTTTAATTTGACAATTGTTGTCTTCTTAGTATGCCAGCTCAACTCGTGAAGGCCACTAAATAGCCTAATATTATGACCTGTTTTGAACCAACTTCCTTCAATGAATTGATTAAAAAGCTTTCTCACATTACTACTGCTGAGGTATCAAGTCCCACCTCTGTGGGCATTTTCTCATACTCTTCCTGCTCTTTTGTGTCTTTTAAACTTCAGTTTTTCTACATTCTGCAATTTTTGGACAAACAGCAATAAAAAAAGAAGAATTTGAGTTTGAACTTCTATTGAAAGCAGATCTTTAAGAGCAACTAAATCCACCAGCTTTAGTTGCCAATGCCTCTGTACTGGTGGCTGCAGGGTAAGAATTGCAGTGCTGAAGCCCTTATGGTTTACGTTGAGTGACACAAGAAACCTGATGTTTGCTATTTCATCCACTTTGTTTGTCTAAGGCACTAACGAGAAAATTAGTTTCAAGTTTAGTAGAGACCAAGCAGAGAGAACATGGCATGTAGCTATACATAGAAAACCAAGCATGCTTGTCCTTCCCTCTACAGGGTCCTCCTCCCAGATCACTTGCAGAGCAGATGAGCAAAATCAGGATGGGCTGGAAAACTTTTATTCGTGTATAGTCTTAAATTATCTCAGCTCCTCATCTTTGTTTGCTCGGTGCATATGAAACTGAGGCTGCACCCACATCTTTGTGGGCATTAGAAACTGGAAGTAGTATTGTTTGAGGGCTATATTCATGGAGAAAGAGAGGGTGATGAGATGACTTCTCAGGAAAGTCCCACAGTGGCAATCAGCAAAAGATTTTTGTCAAAAAGAAAGAGTTTGTAGTGGAAAGATTAAGTTGCAATAGGTTAAAACATATAAAAAATTCCCATATGCACTTAATCTTCATATTGGGACAGAGAACGGACCTGCCCAAAGGCATTTCTCAGGGTCCTGCATAGGCATTCTTGTTTTATAAGTACCACTATATATATAAAAATTTTTTTTTACTGTGGTGCTTTGAGGCCTGAGGGTTATTTTATTAAGAGCTGAACAGACTTGTAGTCTCCATGAAAAAGAAAAGGGACACGGAGGTGAACTTTGCCCGTCAGCCGCTGTGCTGCACTCGCAGTTATAATGTTAATGAGACAGGGTGAGCCAGAGGAAGAACAGTCCTGTGGGACAGCTGTCTCACAGCAGTCTGGTACAATGGGAGCAGTAATAATTTCTGTCCTGGATCTAAGTAATTTAGGTAATTTCTTTCCTCACAGTATTTTACCAATCTTTTCTAACCATTGTTGTCCACACCAACTTTTAGAGGCCACATCTGCTTCTGCTGTCCTGTGAAAGTTTGAACAAGATAAAAAGGGAAATTCTTTAAGAGCAGAAATATGCCTCAGTTCTAATATATTTCTAGCACTCTCTTAATGTATTTACTTTGGAATATTTTTTTCCATGCACTTTCATACATTATCTCTAATCCATCCACAACAACATGATATGAAAGCAAACAGTCCCTGTGAAGGACTAATTATTAAGTCAGCCTTGCACAGGAAGGAAGTAACAGGAAAACATGATTTGTCAAGAATAATTATGCATGAAAAGTATAAAAAAGAGAAAATTGCACACAGGGATATTCAAAATGTAGACAGCTAGGAGGGGCAAATGGAGAGAGCTGGAGGGCCTGACTGTTGGTGTTGGCTCTGCAACACCAAGTGCAACTGAGCTGTAGAAAGGTTGTGGAAAAGGTTGGCATGTTACAGGAAAAGAGTAGTGACAGCCATTTGCCAGACAGAGATGAAAGAGATCTGGTACTTTTAGTGGTGCTTCTACAGACATGGTGGCTGAATTGTTTTGCAAATCGTCCTATAGCACACTATAATCATATCTAAAGATGGGAATGTTTTGAAAGTTAGTGACAGTATTTTCTAATTTTACCATTGAACCAAAATTTGACCCTTTTCCATGCTTGCCCACCTCAGCTGCTGTTCCTGTAGCATCAAGTTGCCCTTGGGCATCTCCTATCCCTGGGTGTGCAAAAGCAGCCACCTTCCCGGAGCCTCCTGACAAGCCTGAGGAATAAGGAGAAGAGCTGGAGGCCCCTGGGCTCCCTCAGAGACCTTTGGTGGCAGATGGTGGGGTAGGGAGTCTCTCTGGTTTGGCAGGTGGAGAATGAGGGATTTGAGTGGAGCTGCACTGACATCGTGGCTTGCAGTGGGCACCTGAAGAGCAGGAGACCACGCAGCAGCAGCCGCAAAGATAAAATGAGTCCTGCCAGAAGAGGCACCCCCCGATCTTCAACCACACTTTGGGGAGTGAGCTGGTGGCGTGAGCCTGGGCACCAGCTGAGCTGGCTGCAGCTAAACAAGCGTTTAGCACTTCCCTACCCCAAAAAGCTCTTGTGTAAAGCAGGCTTAACATGAAGCAGTACTTGGTTACAGTACTGCCTAGTCCTAGCCCTCTTGCCTTCCCCTTTAGGGAATTGGGGGTCGGGGAGGGGGAGAGGGGAGAGGGGAGGAAGAGAAAGCTTTAGGTTCAATTATAAACTTTATTTGATCAGCGGGGCTTTTTCTTCTGGTGGAAAAGGGGAGAGCTCTGTGTAACCTCAGCACTGCTTTGGCTTCTTGATCAACCTAGGAGATGAGGTTGAAAATCCTGACATTTTTAGAGGTGCTAATCTCAGAACAATTTGTCTTGTACTCTCCTTTTAATCCCCTTTGTTGACAGCACATTTTGCTGCTATTAAAAGCACTGGAAAGCTCCCACTGATTTTAATGGTTCAGAAACAGGCTTGGTGGTGAGGAGCACTGAGCCCGTCCAGTGGGACAGATGGCAGAAATATCCTGAAAGCCTTCAAAAATGGGGGGAGGAGGGATTTTCTTTCATATGCATGGGACGTGGTTTGCCGAATAGAGAGTGTGATGTGGCAGAAAGGCTTTGTTGGAGCTGTTGAAGGAGATCCGTGCAACTGCTTTGTGAGTAATTTGATCATTTCCAGCACCATCCCTGAGACTGCTGAGACTTTTACCCCGCCACATGACGTGTCAATAAATACACACCCAGTATCTAACGTATCATCGGTCTGAAAGCATTGATATTATGCTTAGCCACATTTTATTGTAAGACTTGGTTGAAGTGATGGGGATTTTAAATGGGCTCTTGCTTTCCTTGCCGCAGCTTCAAATTATTCTTTACAACCACAGCGACAGTGATCCCAGTGCACTGAAGCATTTCGCATTTTCCTCAAAGGCAAGGCCGAGGATACAGTCTGTACTTCCTAAGCAGTGCCCTGCTAAATCTGGTTTTAGTTAAACACTCTTTTTGAAGTACATGGCCATAATTAGATCTGCTTAGAGGAGACAGCAGGACTGTGACCCCAGATCTTTCCTCCACAAAGTTTCCTTTCAGACTTCGAGTAAAATTGTCTCCTCTCTGCCTCCCCCATCGCAGCACCCCCAGCAAGGAATGCACTGGCAAGTCCCTCGGAGGTCTGCGATAATACATTCCTCTCGGCTTCGGTCATCCTGGCACCGAGATGCTCTTGGCTGCTCTACTGGTGATGTAATTCTGGGCCCGCATCACCTGCAAAGGAAACTGATCTGCGAGCAATAAAGCACACAGCCGTCTTGAAACAAAAATGGGAGTGTTTATGTTAGCAAGTTGTTAAAATCCTTTTTCCCTTTTTGCGTTTCTGCTTTTATTACCAAAGCTCCCCTTCTCCCTTTTCCCATGAGACGGCAGCACCAAAT